TTTAGTTCCCTTATTCCGTTCATTTATATTTTTTTGTAAATAGCTGGGGCTCAAGTTTTGCCTGTTGGAAAACGACCCATTTTTCCCTCACTCTGTTTGCTGAATGCCAACTAATTCTGAATCCATGCCAATTTATTATCCATATCCCAAGTACTTTAACTTTGTCTATTAACCTCTTTTGAGGTACCTTATCAAAAGTCTTATGAAAATTCAAACATACCACATCCATTGGTTCTCCCTTAACTATTCTACTAGTTACATCCTTCAAAAAACTCTATTAGATTTGTTAATCATGATTTTCTTTTCGTCTTGGCTTTGTGCAATCATATCTTTTTAATAGACTCAACCAGTTTTCCTACTACTGATGTTAAGCTAACAGATTTGCAATTCGCTGTTTTTTTCTTAATCTCAGTTCCCTTGTCAGCCTTTAACCCCATTAATTTCCTCGGCACCATTTCCTCTAGTTCCACCCTCTCATTGGATCCTTGGTTCCCTCGTATTTCTGGGATGTTATTTGTGCCTTCTTTTGTGAAGACAGAACCAAATCTTATCATTTCTTTGTCCCCATTGTAATTTCTCTGGTTTCTCGCTGTAAGGAACTTATATTTTTCTTTACTGACCTTTTTATCTTCACATATTCATAGAAACTTTTATTGTCAGTTTTAATGTTCCCTGCAATTTTACTTTCATATGTTTGGAAACATTGTCAATCCTCAGCCATGCTGCTTTTTCTAGTAATTTTGTTCATTCTTGTAATTGTTTGTAAGCTGTGATTGTGCCAACTTTCCTTTTTTGTTTTTGTACCAAGGACATGAATGCAGTGCAAATAAAAGCATTCAGCAGTCTCATATGAGTGGTCAAGGATAGCGAAAGCTCTTCAGATGCATCAAATACCACTGAATTCACCACAGTCCCATCACTCGTGTACCAACAATCTCCATTAATCAGGACTTGTACTGAACATACTTCACCTCACTCTCATACACTAGTAGAAGACACACTCCTATCCAGAGCTGGCACATACTGCCGTCAGTTCACTAACGACAAACAATACCCAAACATATTGTACAACATTCATTTACTTCTCTATTTAAGGATAAGAAGCGACAAACCCTGAGGCAACTGGAGCAAACTGAAGGAGATCAAGAAGGTCTGTATTTTCTAACTCTCTTGGAGGAGGTGGTGCTAGCCCTTATTGGGCAACCCATGTCTGAAATCATCAAAGGCGATAACATTATCTCACCTGATACTCTTTCACAGATCCCAACTCCTCATTTCATGCTTCATACTGATTGCAAACTTCTGATCACATAAGTGTGTATCCTTGCATCATCCTGCAGTCTCCTCTTGTTCCTTTCTCCTTTCAGATATTCAAATAGTGTTTTCTGACCAGAGCAAAAAGACAGTGATGTTGAAAGTGCACCATCAACCAATTTCACACTTACAGCCACCAGCTCAGATACTGACACTAGTCCAGATATTTGAATTAATGCAGTGTCTGGATTGGTGGCAGACACATGCACAGTTTCGTGTAATCGGCTTCCATAATGCTTCATTGCCATGATCCTGACCCCAAGCCATTTTTAGTGAAGGGGGTGCTCAGCTGCCCACCATTTCCTAGCAGGCAGCCCATTCAGGGCAACTATTGATAATTACATAGCCTCCTTTGTCAACTAGGATTTTCAGTTGACAATGCAGCCAGCCCATAGCGCCTGGTAGGTTCAGGATGGGATGTGGGGTGTGAGAGGGTTATGGATCATGTGAGGAGCACCCACCTTTGGGGCTGCCAGGCCACAGCTAAAATCACAGACTATCTCCTGAAGGTGTTGTTTCTGTGTGATTGTAGCCAAGCAGCTGCAGTCATTTTAAGTAGAAACATGCCTAACCTCTTCTTCACAGGGCGTGTCCATGTTGAAGCACCATCTCTCTTTCTCTCTCCATTATGAACCTGCAGCTCCCACTTCAACCCCCAGCCTCAGAAGCTCTCTGTCATCTTACATTGGATGACTGGTTAATAGGTTACTCACTGAGATTTGAAAATTCCAGCTGCTCTGTACCATTTAGAGGATAGCATACAGGTGGGTAGTACATGAACGAAGACATAGGAAATGCATGGTCTGTAAGTGGGGTAGGAAGTAATCATAGTGCAGGTACCAGCTCACTTTAGAGGAAGGTCACACAAGTTTTGCAGTAGAGAATCAGACGAGCATTTCAATCAAGTGATCTGTAAAAAAAAAATGCTGAGTGCAATGCGAAATGAAATATGTCATGCATTGGGAAAGTGGTTGGAAAGCCTGTGGTCAGTGTTAAGAAACATGGAGACATCCTGAATCAGAAGGTTTTGCATTGAGCTCGGAGACCATCGTTTCCAGCTTGGTGGTGGTAGCCAATTCAATCATCTCATGACTGAACCATGAAGTAGTGTATCATGGCAAATATCTCTGCTTCTACTGCAACACAAACAGTAGCTACCCATGATCTGAGTGATGTAGTGGGATGTCAGACTGAAATTGTGCAAAAACACATTGCTACAGTCATTGCTTCAGACTGGTGTTCAAAGGGATACAACCATCCTACAAGTTGGCCTCCAACAGAAAATTAGGAGTTACAGATGTGAATGCAGGAGTTGGTGGATTTCAATGAGAGTATCTTATTCATTCTTCCTCATTGATATTCAGATAGAAGAACTAATCCTTGATTACGATGGAGAGATTTGGTGTCCTGTTGAGAAACCTTCTTAACTTCTCTTCCTCCCTCTTCCAGCAGCTTAGCAATCTCTGTGTGACTTCTGTTACTTTCTTTCAAGCTATATTCCAAGCGAAATGTCTACAAGTGTGCCCAAATCTGGGAGCACCTGGTTTGTGCAGAAAGCTTGAAGGCAGCAAAGGCTTTTTCAGCACCAGCCACACTGCTCCCTTTTTCAAAATCCATTACTTTAAAAAATACAGAAAGAACCAAAGACTTGTGATATTGAAACAACAGCCAGAAGAAACCGATAAGAAACTGACCTGTAAAAAGGTGATTATCTCTCTAAATTGGAGTGGTGCTGGGTCCTTCTTGTTGTTGACTACATAGAGCTCTGCGAGATCAAAAAAGGGTGTTGGCTACAGTGTTGAATTCTGAAATGGCACCACTGGTGTCAAACCAATGCTGGATGTTGATTAACATCATTATTTGTGCAGTCTTCACACTTCTGGAATTCAGTGCAATTTATCATATAAGTGAACACATTTGCTGCAGACCCATTTCTGCAGCTGTTCTGAAGAAGGGTCATTAGACCCGAAACATTAACTCTGATTTCTTGCCACTGATGCTGCCAGATCTGCTGAGCTTTTCCAGCAATTTCTGTTTTCTCTTCCAATGCTGCAGCTGTAAGAGTGCTCATAGTGCCGAAAAACAGGGAGCAAATGATTCCAATTTCTCACCTGTTATCTACAACAATACATAGATGGGACATGTTTGCAAACTGTCAATGACACCGTGACTGAGAGCTGGTGGTGTAAAAAGATAATTATTGGCTAGAATGTTGCAAAATATCAGCAATGTCTGGAAATACAGATGATTTCACAAAGTGCAATTGTTTTATTAATGTCATTTTTGAGTTGTCAGATGATTTGCATTCATGAAAAACACTCTAGTCTGAAGATAGACTAGACAGTGGAGTAAGTGTGGTTATTTAATTCCATTTTAGGTGAGCTATTTTTTTACAGGATGTGTGTTCTGTGTAACACCACTAGACAGCAAAATCTTGAGATAATACTGAAGTGCTTAAGTTTAAAGTGGTTTGGGCAGCAGTCATACGATCTGTAGAAGTAATTGAACAATGCCATAGGATGCAAATAACAGAAACAATCATCTTTGCGCTTTCCCTAAGTTGTGATGAATTTCCCCTGAACCTGTGCCACATTTTTTGTTTTTGCATCATTTGTACAGCTGAGCAGAGGCCCTCCTTAGTGGTTGTTAAAAGGTGATGTAAATTGTGACAAAACGTTATAACTGTGACTGCATATGGAAGAACAGATTAAGCAAGATGTTAGTTAGGTGGCAAATCTTAGGTTGTTTCAAAGTTATTTGCTGCAATGTGACTTTCAGGCATACAATTATTGGTTTATGTTTTAAAGTGAACTGTTATGAATCCCTATTATGGGGTATGTAGGGCCAGCTGAACTCTTAATATGGACTCCTTCAGTGGGTGGGAAATGAGATTTGGAGGGGGCAGTGCTGTCCAGTGAAGTGCAAATTCCTAAACTTCACTCTTGGGAGTGCCACGTTGGTCTCATTTGTGTAATATATTGTAACGTATAGGTTTGGCCGCATCCACATGGCTTCATCGTTGTCTTTCCAGCTCCGTAGCTCAATAATGTTTTATTTTAGTTTACGTTGCCCCGTGGCCTCCTCCTAATGTCCTCCTGCAGGAGGCCGGTGTGTACGTAATTCCATCCCTGCTCCATCTCAGATAACGGTGTCGGAAGATAGTCTGTCAACTCGGAGCCACATCAGAGCAGGTGCAGGATCTGTGCAGTGTGACTTTCTCCAGCTCAGAGGCGGCAGTCGTGGAAGCAATGGCACCGGTGGCAGCAGAGAAGGAGTACGTTGCTAGGACCCTGGGAACAATGGGGGAGGGTGGCTGATGGGAGGAGAAGAGGGTGAAGTCTACAGAGAGGGAAAGATGAACTGTTGAAGCTGTTTTAGCAATGTCAATTTAATAGCAATATATTCTGTATTTTATAATTTATACAGCTTATTCAGTAATTTGTAATCTAAGATGACGCTGGAACATGGCGACATTATACACTAAGTACAATTGACAATCTTAAATAAATCTAAATCTATCATTACTGCAAACATGACAGTACGTAATTCGTACTGACGGAAGGTCCGTATGCTCTGAAATGACATTTTTTGGTTAATGTGCACATATTCAACTCCTAATAGCAATTTGACTGTCAACAAAAGAAGCATAAAGCATCTTTCTAAAGTTGAAAATATCTGTTTTTCAGCTCCCCTATTAGACTGGATCGGAGCTGTTCATCAGTGACCTCAACACCATCGAAAGTCTGCTTGGTCTGTGCAGATGAGGCGTCAGGATGCCATTATGGTGTCTTAACGTGTGGCAGTTGTAAGGTTTTCTTCAAAAGAGCTGTGGAAGGTAACCGTCTCTTTGTTTCCAGATTTTTCAGTTAATTAAACCAGCTGCAGCTCTGAGTTTGTGCTGCATGTCTCATTATTTACCAGTAATTGCTGCTGAATAATACCATACTGCACTTAATGTACCATCAGATAAACAGCATCCAGCTAGTTATACAGAAAAAACATAGCTGTTCCCTATAGGAAACATAAGGATTAGCTTTAGAAAGGAAAGGCAATTTGGTTTTAATCTGAGATAGTAGGAACTGCAGATGCTGGAGAATCC